TTGACCTGAATCAGAGAACGATCAATCTCCAATTCAGTACCCCCAGAGGTGTTGATTTGTTATGAGAACATGTGGAGGACTTTGAGACTCGATAGATTTAAAGTGCACCAGTCACCATTTACTACACGTTACTGGTTTGCTTCAACTTGAATTTGAAATTGATAATAAAAAAAATAATAATAACAAAAATTCTGAAATTACAGAAGTTTAAAAGATAATTCGCTCAGAAATTATGTTTTTTCTTTCATTTTTTGAAAGAACACCATAATTTTTAAAGAACATGAAAAAACATTTTATATTTTGATAAAATATGACTGTAAGTGGGGATTTTGTTATAAATTCAGATATTCGAAACCCCATGAAATTGGGGAGGGGGAGTAATTCCATTTTAGAATTTTCGACAACCTAAATTCATGACTTTTCATAATTTTTTTAAAAAAAAATAGTTAAAATCATTATGACAAAATTTGTCCAATACCGAAATTCATGACTTTCCAGGTGCGCAGATACCCTGTTTCTAGTGTAGCAGCATTTTTAAGTTATAAAATAAAAATAGGTACTACAAGTGTGCTTATATATACACACACACTATTCAAGCAAGAATTTAAAAAAAAANAAAAAAAAAAAAAAAAAAAAAAAAAAAAAAAAAAAAAAAAAAAAAAAGAGTGAAAGGTGTATTCTTGAAGACTAAGGTTTTTTCCTTCTTCCATAAAGATCCATCTGTATTTCAGAAAATTAAAATTTTTACACTTAACATCAACCCTTTGGCAGATTTTTTTCGAGGTATCTGCGACAAAACCATCTAGCACTAATATCTTTTTGCAAGACACTCATTATAATAAAAAACATATATGTAACTAATTTAAAATAACAAAAGTGCTGTGTTTACAAAAAAAAAACTTTAAATAATGTTTTATTCTAATACTATGGGTGATTTTCTCGAGGGGGGCACTAATTATTTTGTTTTTTGCATTTTGTAAATAATCAATAATCATCATGGTAAAAAATAATTAAAAATTATAAAATCCGCAGTAGAAATTGCCGGGAAAAAAAGATCAACGACTAAATCCCACGAATCAGACTCCTCAAATGCGTGTTTCTTTAATAGAGTAGGTTGTTGTAATAAATAATTTCGCATGAAAAAACATCGAATTTAAAAACTACGGATAAATCAATAGCAATAACTGCCAAAAATTCAATAGAATGACTGCCTTAAAAAGTAAATACTTAAATGTACGATTCGAATTTTCCATATTGTTTGAAATATATCGGATATTTAAAAACCAAGTGAAAATCAGTATCAGCAGGGTTCCCACTCTTTTATCAAAGCAAAAATTAAGCACTTTTAAGGACTTTTATCAAAAAAATTAAGGACTTTTTTTCCAGAAATTAAGGACCTTAAAAATTGCATAATGATCAATAATTTATCATCAAATAAAACATTATAGATTAATAATAATAGATTAAAAAATGCAATAGCTTTTCCAGTCATCCTTTAAAAAAAACTAAATAAAGAAATGTTTAATACAAATAATCTGTATTTAATTAAAATTAAATTGCATTTAATCACCTCACGCAAGCTTTTAAGAATATAAAGAAAAACTCAAAGAATGCAGATTAAACATTAAGATTTTTTATTTTAAAATGGAAAAAAAAACTGGGTAAACAGATAGAAATGTATAAATTAAGATGGTAAATTCATTAAATTAATAAAAATATTATTTTGAGTGACTAATACTAAACCAAGGCAAAAAGAAACTAACAAATATAACTTAACACAGACTTCGCGATGTATCGCAATTTAACATACATTTGATATTTATCAATCAGAAATCTTTAAATCAATCAAAAAGAAATAAATCTATAACAAAAGAAAATGTTAATTCTAAAAAAAATTTCTCCTATATCATCAATAGCATTGCTTAATTTTTTCAATTAAAATAAAGATGGATTGACTTAAGACTGTCTTAAAGATTGAGTAGTCTTAAGTAAAAACAAACACAAGCTTTATTTTAAATTCTTTTAAAATTAAAAATGACTTAGATTTTTTAAAAATAGTAATAAAACTGTTACAAAATATTTTACATACTTTACAAATTAAAAAAAAAAGGTAAAAGAAATGTCCACTTAAAAAAAAAACATTTTTAAAATTATTTGTTGAAAAAAAATGTGTGTTTTAAACATCGTTAGGCTTTTGCTAATTACTTATTTAAGATAATAAAATTGTATTGACTAATGGTCAAACGGTTTTAATGTAAAAATACATGTAAGTTTCTTTATTATTATTTCCCTATTTGAAAATGAAATAGACTAATTTAAATGTTTAAAAATAATACTGACTATCTAACAAATTATTAAACGAACACGTATTGAAGGAATTTTTAAAAAAATAAAAAAAATATTCTATATTTAAGAGCACTCAAATTCTATATTTTCCATATTTAAGAGCAAAAATATTCTATATTTAAGAGCAATTGTCAAATTAATGAAAAGCGTTAAAACATTGCTTAACTTTTTATTTAATTTAAAAAAATTTAGTAATTTTAACTAACAGCCCAATTAAAAAAAAAGAAAAGAAAGAACGCAAACTCTGTCTTAATTTCCTCAAAAATAAAAGTAAATTAATTAAATGTAGGCTTTGTTTTAATTTTTTTTAAACTAAAAGCGACTGAAGATTTATTGGTTTAAAAACTAATCGAATTCTATCAAATTATTATATTTACGTGAATTAAATAAATTTAAAAAAAACTTTTGAACACAAAGTATAAATTATTTAAATACAAAATATATAAAATATTAAATTGTATCACTTTTAAAAAGATCAATAAAGAATCTTTTTTTTTAATTCATGATTTCTTTTCTTTAATATATTAAGTTCAGAACGAAAATTTAAGATAACAGCAATTGCACAACGATCGCCAAGTAACAGTAGGTCTGCTGAAAATAACTGACAATGTTAAATCCAGACAGAAAAAAAAAGTGACGAAATAATGCGTAACGATCGCTAAGTAGCAAAAGTCTCACTGAAAATAATTTACTTGAAATGTTATATCTCGTCGAAATAAAACGCACAGCAATCGCAAAATAACTCCCGCTGAAAATAATCTTCAAGAAACGTAAAATCCAAAGGTAAAAAATGGTGCAGAAAGTAACTATGCATCACGTTCTATATTTCAACGCTGATCCTCGCACTTGGTTATTCAATATCACAAAAAGAAAATCATCTTCGTAGCTAAAAATGTAATGAACATCTTCGCAGTTAGACGAAATCAAACTTGTCTTCGTCACTGCGGTGATATAGGTGAATAGGTGCGTTAGCATAGGCAAGAATCCTCGCACGTTAAACCACGAGCATCGTCTTAAATCAGATTCCTGATGCTTCGCCTAAAATAAAAGTTATCATATCGGCCTGCCGATATGTGCGTTAAGTCAATAATTCGCGATACATCGATTTAAAAATGTTTAAGAGTAGTGCACGTTAAAATTGCTGCATCATAACAAAAACAAGAGTTTTTGTTGTTTTTTTAAAAATGGGGAAGCCAAACAGAAATAAAAACAAAAAAATCGTTCTCATTTTTTATAAGAAAAATTTAACGTTGCAGATTACGCTTTGAGTGTTTCTCACAACCGGATCTTTAGAAAAAATGACGAAAAAGAAGGCTCTTTAAAATATGCTATCAAAATAAAAAGAACACAATTAATCAAAAAAGCAAAAGAGAAACAGAAAATTTTCCTAAATTCTTAAAACAAAACTTGCAACGTAGAAAATCAATTTTCTATTTTACTGGTTATCCTATTATCTGTTTAACTTTAAAAGAAAAAGTGGAGATAAAATATATCAGAAACGCTGTTAAAATGCCGCGCTTTAAAAAAAACCCAGCAAAAGTGAAAAAAGAAAACAAACATTTCACTATTTTTAAAACAAAAAGTGTCAATGATAAAACGACAAAAATGACTTTCCTGATTAAAATTATACTTCGCTGAATATTCGTAATATCCTTAATTTTAAAAAATGGAATCATTTATAAAATTGAACTTCAGAAGAAAATATGACACAATGAAAAAATACACTTTGCCTTGTGACGATCACTAGATGCTGTTAGCCATTCCTTATATTTTTCATCAAGTGCTCATAAATTATTAAAAACACACATTCCTAGCATTTCTAACAATTTCACATTTGAATGAAGTATCAAAGCTATCACTTGCGCTATCAGAAGAATTGAATTTCTCGAATCCTATGGATGAAGAAGGTCACTGCAGGTCTTCAGCTGATAAAGTATCTAAGTACTGTCTAAAAATAAGTCAAGACCTCTACCCACCTGCAGTATCACGCTCCCCTCTCCCCACACTAAATTTTTTTCTTTCAGAATGATCCAGAAAGAAAAAATATTTTAATGAAAAAAATTAATAATAAAATAAAAACAATAAGAGCGTGTTTTCTTCCACTTGCTTGTAACCCCTACCCTCACATGCATTCAAAATGTTCTACCCTCGATGCAGGATCTCATTCTAGGCGAAAGACGTACTTTTTAACTGTGGACATTTTTCTAAGATATAAAAATTGTTCCAACCAACTAGTGATACTAGAAAATTAAGGACTTTTAAGAACCTTGAATTAAAATTAAGTACTTTTAAGGGCCCTTATCAAAATAAAAACTAAGCAGTTTTTAAGGACTTTTAAGGAGCGTGGGAACCCTGATCAATAACTGATGAAAACACAATTGAAATATTACATCGATTTACAATACTATCGATGCAAATTGAGCATGTCAAAAAGTGAAATGCATGATTCAAATATTAAGTGTTAATTTCTGTAGAAAAGAAAAGTACATTTTTTTTACTTTTCAAAAGAAAAATCTTTCTGCAAGAACCCTGTAACTTTCCGCGACAATGTCGCCCTGTTGCTCAATTCTTCCTCGGGAACAATGCAATATATCGTCAATAGAAATATTTGTAACAAAAAACTCTAAATTAGAGAGATGATAAAATGAACTTACCAATAAAGTTTGCTTGCTACAAACTGGGTGCATGATGGATTTTTCTCTTACAAGATGATGAAAAGCTTTGTAACCAAGCTCAGTAATTGTATCAAAATCTAATTAAAAGAATTAGTTATCTCAAGTAAGAAAATGCATGTCAGAAAAATATAATTAAAGGTCAAAAACTTAAGAGAGTGGAAAGTTCCATGTCTGGAACCTTGGCAAATCCAGAAAAATATACTTTTCCAGACAATAGGTCATAAAAAAAAACACACACACATTATGTAGTAAAGAAAAGTAACATATAGGAGATAATTAATGCCAATTTCATATAACAACTTTTTTGAATGACATTTAAATGTGTTTAGTATGATAAAATGCACAAATAATAAAAAAAAATTACTAAAGTGCACACAGATGGTTATTTGAACTTCCTTTTTCATAAATAAAAACATGATCTTTATTTTTTCCATTTGATGTGAAGATCTAGCAAGGCAGATAAAAATAACATTAAAAAAATGAGCCTCAAATCCCAAAAGTAATCTGACTTAATATATACATATATAAAACAAGGTACAGAATTGTAAACATTTATTAATAGTTACTTAAATAATGCATAATTTTAAAGGGAGTTGCAATTTAGTCATTCACAATTGAAAGAGAAACGAAGCTTGTCTGCTGGTGTTTTTTTCAAACACTATATTTATTCAGCTTCAATAAAATTCATAGTTTGAAATTTATTTGTCTCAACTAAGTTTGTTTTTCTTTAACTGTTCTTGTCTTTTCAAGAAATCTCTTAGCTGTGTATGTTCAATTATCAAAAAGTGGGGGGGGGGGGGGGNGGGGGGGGGGGGAGAGAGAGAGAATGTGTTGATAATTTTTTTTAAAAATTGATTAACAGCAATTAAATTCAAATGCTCGTGATCAGTTTTTTAAAAAAAATCCTTTATTTTCTTAAGAAAGGAAACAATATTTATTTTGATTGTTAAAAAGTGTATATACAATAGACCTTTCCAGTAAAGGGAGATCTGGACATGGGACTCAGTAAGTACTGTAACAATTATTCCACTAGGCCAGGGGTTTCCAACTTACATGAGGCCGCAATTAAAAACACCAGTCAAATGGTGGGCCGTAACTTTACCAAAATTTTATATAGGACTCTTTTATGTTTGAAGGAACATTAAATATTACTGTCAGATTTTTGTCAAGTTGTACAAAAGAAAAGTATTGAATTGGAAATTAAAATAAGAAGTAGAGTTTTAAAAATATTTAATCGAATTTTAAAAAATTCTGGCTACAATAACTTTAGTGTGCACCTATGTATTAAACAATTAATGTGCAGCAGATATCAAATTGTTAACATATAAAACTTTAAAATATTTAAAATCCATATAGATTTTTTACGAAAATTGTCAGCAAAAAAAAAAGACAACTAATATATTTAATTTCGCTGGCCACAAAAAAAGGTATCGTGGGCCNTCAAATCCCATAAGTAATCCGATTTAATATACAGTCGGACCTCTATTTAACGAGGTCGCTAAATCCCAATAATAAATTTGTTATATGGAAAATTTGTTAAATAGAAAAATCCCCTTTTGAAATACTTAAACGACACAAAACAGGTTTTAAATTTATAAACACTAGACATAATTAAAATAGCAATTGATACACCTTTATCTTTCAAAGCAGTATTTTCTATTTATTCTATAAATCTAAACCATAAAAGAAATCTGCATGGAAAGCAAGAATAGAGCAAAACATTATCCATTGTTACACTGTCATGTTACATACATTTTTAACTAAAAAAAAAGCTAAATTTATGCATAAAATTATATCTGTATTTATTATAAAAGTAATTTTAAACATGCATTACAACATGCGTTCTTAAACTTAATTGTTTCGGATAAAATCCGTTAATTTTGTTTGCGTTTTTCGTTTGAAATGCAAACAAAAAGTGAAAAAGATTTTACTGCTTTCTGTAATAGTTACGTGACTTCGAAAATCAATTCAAGGGCATTTCCCATATAAAATGCTTTAACAAGTTTGAAATGTTCTGAAATATTTTGGGAAATAGAGAAGTTGGATCTCAAGGAAAAGTTCATTAAATAGAAAATTTCCAAAATGTTCTTGATTCCTCGCAAAATAGAGAAATTTGCAAAGAGGAAGTTCATAAAATAGAAGTCCGACTGTATGCATATATAAAACAAGGTACAGAATTGTTAACATTTATTAATAGTTACTTAAATAATGCATAATTTTAAAGGGAGTTGCAATTTAGTCATTCACCATTGAAAGAGAAACAAAGCTTGTCTGCTAGTGTTTTTTTCAAACACTATATTTATTCAGCTCCACCAAAATTCATAGTTTATTTGTCTCAACTAAGTTTGTTTTTCTTTAACTGTTCTTGTCTTTTCAAGATATCTCTTAGCTGTGCATGTTTAATTATCAAAAAAAGGGGGTAATGTTTTTATTAATATTTTTTTTTAAAACTGATTAACAGCAATTAAAAAAATACATGTATTTTTTTCAAATGCTCACGATCAGTTTTTTTAAAAAAAATCCTTTTTTTCCTTAAAAAAGGAAACAATGTTTATTTTGATTGTTAAAAAGTGTACATACAATAGACCTTTCCAATAAAGGGAGATCTGGACATGGGACTCAGTACGTACTGTAACAATTATTCCACTAGGCCAGGGGTTTCCAACTTACAAAGGCCGCAATTAAAAACACCAGTCAAATGGCGGGCTGCAACTTTATCAAAATTTTATATAGGACTCTTTTATGTTTGAAGGAACATTAAATATTACTGTCAGATTTTTGTCAAGTTGTACAAAACAAAAGTATTGAATTGCAAATTAAAATAAGAAATAGATTTTTAAAAATATTTAATTGCATTTTAAAAAGTTCTGGCCACAATAATTTTAACGTGCACCTATGTATTAAACAATTAATGTGCAAACAGATATCAAATTGTTAACGTATAAAACTTTAAAATATTTAAAATCCATATAGATTTTTTACGAAAATTGTCAGCAAAAAAAAAAGACAACTAATATATTTAATTTCGCTGGCCACCAAAAAAAAAGGTATCGTGGGCCTGATGCGGCCCGTCAATTGGTAACCACTGCACTAGACCTTAGAATTCTAATGATTTAGATCCTAAGGTTCTTCGTATTTTTTAAGTTAAAGCAGATCCCTATTTAAAATTTGACTTGCCACCTTTTAATCTATTAATATGCACATTCGTTATTATTCTATCCATTGATAGACAAAGCAAAGAATTTCAAAACATGAATAGAGTAATATTTGATCAATCAATGCTTTTAATTAGAACTAATTAAGCTCCTGATTCAAGAAATAGCAAAGATATGTAATAAGAATTATTCTAATTTTCTCCCTCTGCAAATAATAAAGAAGAAAAGGAAGATTTTTATATTTTAGAGTATGGCTATAATTTTTCTATGGGCCAATTTTCTTCGGGCTGGAGAATTGAGTGTTCCTTGTGATGCATAATAACTTATGCTTTGTGTCCATTTTATGATTTTTAGTTAATCTGTTATAGCATAGAAGCAGAATCACTGTGTTAGTATAATGATACATAAAAGGAATACAAAATTTCAACTACCATCATCCTCTCCTCGACGGAATTCTACAGAAGATTCATTAGGGCTTGTTTGCTGAATGTGTAAAAACAGAGTGCACGTGTATCTTAAGAAACCCACTCGACAACCCCATGATAGCTCAAAAACTGCTTGATTCTGTTTCAATGTTTTCAGTTTCCACTTGCATTTCTCCCTAAAAAAAAAGGCATAATTAATGATAGCTCTTTTTTAACTGCTTTTACATCTGAATTCAATGACACACAAATTTAACATAAAATACATAAATTATAATGACTACACAAATAATCCATAATCAGGGGTCCGTTTAGAAGAAATTTGGGTCCGTTAACGGACCCTTCACAAAATATCTTTTCATAAAAATGGACCCTTCACAAAAAATTTTAACTTAGAAACAGACCCTTCACAAAATAATTTATCTTTTAATCGAACCCTTCACAAATTTGTTTATCTTTATTATTGTTTAATTAATCGAATAAACCCTTCTCAGGAAGGGGGACAAGAAAGACAGATATAAACGAACTAAAATTTGTCTTCGGCAGACGCTTCTTCCTTTATTTGTCCAAAATGAATATTCTGCATTCAGCGATATAGGCTAAATACCAAATATTTATTTGTTGCATCGTAATTTAGCAGCTGCAATTGCTGTTTATTTTTTAACATTTAATTTTTTATTTATAATTTTGCAGTGTTGAGCATAATCTTGTATGTCTTTACAATTTAAAAACTCCTTCTGCAATAACAGACCCTATTAGCCCAAATTCACAAAAGCGGACCCTGGGTGAAAGAATGTGATTTAACGTTTATTTTATATTCACAAATTACGAGTCATTTTTTCACAATTTTACAAAAACGGACCCTTCACAAAATGTCTGGACAGACCCCTGATAATAAGATGAAGAGTTTGTCTCTTAGTGTTAGTTCAATTATCCTGAAACTTGAACAGCAACTGCGAGGGGCAAATTTAGTCCTAAATCTTATAATTTGTTGAAAATTTTCAATTCATATGAAGAATGGAATTTTTTTAATCGGCTAAGAGCTGGCTATTGATAAAAATGAGACTGCAGATGAATTTTTTTCTTTTAAGCATTTTAAAGATTACATCAGTGATATTTGATAGCTTAATTCTCTCATTAAAAAAGGGAGTTTTGTGCACGGTCTTTATTTCATTATTTTTTATTCCTTATGTCAGATTAACTCAATGATCAATCAGCATGAACATGATGGCATTGGTAGATTATATCACTAAATTAGCATTCCTAAAGTTACTTGCAATAACGTCGTCATTTTTTTTTACAGTTATGCCTATTAACCACGGATTTATAAAACTAAAAAATTTAAAAGCAACAGTAATTGAAATAAGAAAAGTAATAATAAAAAAAGTAATCGAATCGTTACATAGAATTTTAAAAATGCCTCAATACAAATCGCGATATTGGATTTTTAAATCTCGTAAATAAGAACTGCAATGAACGATATTGAAATTGCATGAATAAAAATCAGGTAAATACGAGCTATCTAGGGGACGGGTAAAAATGAAATAAAAATCTCATTTTCTGCTCTTAAAAGCTAATAGCTGAAATAACTACTATGCGGAAGGGTTGGCAGCTACATAGTTTGAATTTTCTATATATCTTTCGTTATATTATAATCAAATCGGAAATAGATATAATTATTATATTTCAACGGCTGAGTTTTCAGAAAAAGCGGAATATATATAGATATAAGCTTTTAGAGAATCGAAATTTTTGATAAAAAGGCTGAAATTCGAGAGACAAAAGCGAAAAAGGCGGAAATCGCTAAAAAGCTGAAAAATCTCAGTCCTGCTGACACCAATAAAAATAAGGCAGTTGCATGACAGGATATGCTTCTCCTAAATGAATTAGTACTATTTCTCCAGTAATTTTAATATATAACTTAGTTATTTTTTTAATTTCAATAGTAGCTATAATTAAAAATAATACAAGCAGCATAGGTGTCAAGAATATAATAGCGATTTTTAACATTCCTCATAAACAAATTAGTACAGTTCTCCATCTATTTTACTTTTCAGCACATACTTCATTTTTTATTATTTTATTTTTCTTGTATCGTTCATTTCAAGTTATTTAGTTTTATAAAAACACACAACTATAAATGAAATAAACATGTGGTTTCAGATAATTGTAGGATTACTAATTTGGTGACGTAGTCTACCAATACTTTCACTTCGGTTTATCTGACATAAAGAATAAAATATAATAAAACATTAAAAAAGGTTCAATAAACTCTTTTTTTGATTATAACAGTTAAAGGCTAGCAGGCATCAATAATATCTCCAAAGTTTCTGATAAAAAAGTCTTCTGCTGTCTCAATTAAATTAATGGCTGGAAAAGGATGACAACTCATCATAAAATTCCATTTTTAAAATGTCTCTTTTGAGCGATTTTTAAGATCGGAAGCTGAAACTGTCCTTTTCACCCACTGTCTGAATTTCAAGATTCACAAACAGTTCTGGAGTAATTAGAGAAACACACAAACTCTTCATTTTATTATTATAGATTTGCAGACGTAAATAGGATTGTGAAAAATAAAGTATTTTAGGAAATCTAACTACAGTAGGGAACCGATTATCCGGAACGATCGGGACTATCGCTATTCCGGATAACTGATTTTTCCGGTTTTCTGAATCGCTACAAAAAGCCGTTTTTTTAGTGTTAAACCCAACTAAAAAAAAAAATATTTGGAAATAATCTTAAAAATAAGGAAAAACGATGAGGTAATACACTAATGATTATTTCTGAAATGATGGTAAGGTAAACATCTTTCAGAAAAGAAAGAAAAATCCTAAAATCTTATGAAAAAAAATTTTTTTTTTTTTTAAATTGCGGGAAAATTTATTAAATTTCGTTCCGGTTTTTTGGTTTTCCGGTTTTCTGATTTCCGGATAACGGGTTCTGTAGTGTATTTAGGAAATCTAAACTAACTTTGCACAGTGCAGGACAAAAATATTAAAAATGAAAAACTTACCCCGATGATTCTTGCTCAAGAATTTCTTTGAACTTTTTCAGAGTCAATGCATTATCTATTTTCCTACAAAAACAAATTGACAATGTATTCCATAATTCAGAGTCTGTGTCTAATTTGAAGATGAATGAACATAGAGATTTACATAAATTCAAACATAATTTTTAAAAAAATAAAAATAAAAAAAGCACACTTTGAGCCAGATCTGGAAAAGCACCAAGTTAAAAAGCACACCTGGCAACTGAAGAATGTAGAAAAACTGAAGAATCAGTCAAGGAAGAATGTAGTAGTTTATTTTATTTAAGTAACAGATTTTTACTTTCAGCCATAAGAAATAATTAAAAAAACAAGGTTTTAATAAGAAAATGCTCCACAAATTTACTAAAATAGTTTAACAAATATGAAGTGGTAGTAAAAAACTTAGATTAGGTAGATAAAAATTTAAATTTATATGGGTATTACTTCAGAAAGTTCAACATTTAACTTAAAAGTCTAAAATTCTGGTATTCAAGATCAACTGGTAGAATAAGTTTGTAGTGTGCTTTTGATAATTTCAAATTTAGCTTCATTTTTTTTCCTTTCAAAATTTAAATAATATCTATAAATATTAATTTAACTACATGATACTTAAACTAAAAGGCATTATGCACTGGTTTTAGAGTGTCTTGTTTAAAACATTTCTTTATTTTTTAATTTTAATAAAGGTCAGAATTTGGCTCTGTGAGGGAAAACACAGTTCAGATAACAATTGCTCAAATGTGCCAAATCATTAAGATAGTAAATGTAATATATATATCATCAGCGGGGAAAAAATCTAAATTCTTACGTTGGCTTCTTTTCAACAGCTTCTGTTGAATTAACTGGACTGGTTGAACCTGTAGGAAGAAAAAATAATAATATTAATAAAAAACTAATTAAAATTTTCTTTTAAATTTTATAATTAGTACCTAATATAATCCCAATTATATTATGTACTAATATAATTGGGTCCCAATTATAGTACCAATTTTATGAATAGTACCTAATATAATTTGGAATTATGCTCAAAGATATTAAGGAAACTAATAGATAAAGTTACGAATAAATTAACAACCTGCAATTTTTAGAATGTTCTTTTTCTAAAAAAAGAGGTATTAGAAATTTATTTTTCCCTTTATTTTGTTTAAAAATTATAAATGTAACAATAAAGTGGTTGCAAGAAATTTAAGTTCGAATTATTTTAACTACACCCTATTAAAAAAGTGCCATTATAAAACTAATATTCCAATAGTTTCAGCTTAAAAAAATAAAATTTAGACACTGCCCTCAAGTGTCAGAATTTGAAAGAAAAAAAATCATTTTTTTCAAAAATAAGGGGACCTTTTCCATTATAGCATTTGAATGGATAATTGTAGAAACACAAATCTGGGTTTATTTTGTTGATAATGCCTTTAATTGAGACTTTTATAACTGAAAAGTGTTTCTTTTAACCCTATGCGGAAAAAATCATATTTTGAGGAAAGAGAATATCAGTTTATAATTGGTAACTATCGAAAAACAGTTAAAATAAGAAACCACAAATAACATTTCTTTAAAAGCAAAATAAGCTTAAAATGTCAAATTTAAAAAAAAAAAAAAAAAAAAAAAATAGAGAATTTAGTCATTNAAAAAAAAAAAAAAATTAAAAATTAAAAAAAAAAAAATAAATAAATAAAAAAAAAAAAATAGAGAATTTAGTCATTAATACAAATCATAAAACTATAACTATTACAAAAATAAGGAGGGATTAATGTTAGCTATTTTACATACAATGGGGGAATTTTTTTTTTTTTTTTACCGGAGCTGTTTTTTCCCCATAGGTGTGGAAGCTTCCTAAATCTCTTTTAAACTTACCATATAAAAATATTTAAACATTCAAGTTAGCATATACAGTGGGTGATCGGTTAACGAACAGATCGGTTAACGAACACTTTCACGAAAGATTTTTGTGTTCGGATAACGAACACATATTCGGATAACGAACAATTTCAGGAAAGATTTTTTGTCGGACAACGAACACATATTCGGATAATGAACAAAACGAATTCTAACGAACACTTCTCAACCTTAAAAAAAATTAATATTAAGCATTTATTATCATTTTGCATACAGAATAAGATCACTGAAAGGAGAAATGTTTAAAGCATGCTTAGTATTGATAATTACTAAATGAAACTTGAATTATGGAGAATGAAGGAGTAACGAAAATCATATCTGCGAAGCAAAGAAGTGTCATCCATGATAAAATGGAAAGGTTGCTTTTAGTTTGGATAAATGAACGGGTAATGAAACGAGATGCAACTAGTATGCCTATCATTCAAGAGAAGGCTAGAGAAATTTGTGAGAAATTGAAAGAACAAACTCCAGTTTCGTCATCCGAGGAGTTAGAATTCAAGGCTACCACTGGCTGGTTTACAAAGTTTAAAAAAAGGTCTGGAATTAAACATGCATTAATGCATGGTGAGTCTGCTAGTGCAGATAAAGAAGCAGTTGAGAAGTACTGTCTCAAATTTCAAGAATTCATTGAAACAGAAGGGTATCGTCCACAACAAATATTTAATTGTGATGAAACTGGTTTGTTTTGGAAGCGCATGCCGAATTGTACCTACATCACGAAAGATGAGAAAAGTGTTCCTGGGCATAAACCTATGAAAGACCAATTGACGTTACTTTTGGGAGCTAACGCTAGTGGTGATATGAAGTTAAACCACTTCTCGTTTAGCACTCTGAGAATCCCAGAGCATTCAAAAAAATTTCATAACTAAGAGCAAACTGACAGTAATGTGGGGATCGAATCAAAGGGCATGGGTCACACAGTATCTTTTCAAGGAATGGCTAGTTTGTGCCCCTAGCATCAGGGACTACCTTGATACCAATGACTTGCCGTTGAAAGTACTGCTGCTATTGGACAATGCACCAGGACACCCAAACGATCTTGAAGATAATTTGTTGACAGACTTTCCCTGGCTGACAGTTCAGTTTTTACCTCCGAATACGACTTCGCTGATTCAGCCGATGGATCAGGAGGTTATTGCGGCTTTCAAGAAATTGTACACTCGCGCGCTGTTTCGTCGGTGTTTTGAAGCAAGCCAATTCTCCTCAACAATGACTTTAAAAAAGTTTCGGAAAGAAAAATTTGACATTCTTGAAGCTATTCGTATCATTCAAAAGGCGTGGTCAGAAGTCACACAGCGACAGTTGATTTCTGCTTGGCGGAAGCTGTGTCCATCCTTCGTTCAAGGTGACGGAGGTGATCAGGGAGACACCCCTGAAATTATGGATGAAATTTTGACAACTGCTAGAGATCTGGAATTGGAGGTGAACGAGGATGACATAGAAGAGCTCATAATGGGACATGTAGATTAACTGAAGACAGAAGAACTCCAAGAAATTTTGAATGAAGAACACCAAGAAACACAGCGAAATGTGTCTCCTTCTGAACAAAAGGAAGACGAAAGAGGATACCAATGCCGACATCTGCCGTTAAAGATCTTTTGAAAAAGTGGGAGGATGTCAGAGCAATGGTCTTAGAATGGCACCCAAACTAAGCTGATGTCAGTAGGGTTGGGGATTTTTACAACGACAATGCTATTAATTACTTCCGGAAAATCCTGAAAGAGAGAGAAAAGCAATCGACATTGGACATGTTCTTCAACGCCCCATAAGCATAAAATGAAAAGGACTGATTAATATGCAAGACTGTATGCATGAATTATTTTTTAAGAAACTTACTAAGAAATTATACATTTTTTTAAATTTAATTTTTTGGATCTCCAGAACGAATTAATCGATTTCACATAGAAGTCTATGGTGAATCGATGATCGGTTAACGAACAATTCGGATAGCGAACATAATCTTGGAACGGATTATGTTCGTTAACCGATCACCCACTGTACTTTACTCCCCTTTGAAAATCATTCTTATATTAAGCTATACTTCTTTCAATCCATTAATAATAATAATATAAAAACTTAAAAAAATTTACGAACAATATAACACATTGGACATTGTTTTTATTCAGAAAGATTTCATAACTTCACAACTAAATATGGATCAAATACAGAATTATGTATATTCATGAAGTAATTCCGAGTTACCAAGTTTAGCAGTAATTAGTAATTTAGCTTTGTAAGCATCACTTTTACCCCCCCCCCCAAAAAAAAACTAAATTTCTTGAATTGTGTACCATTCTATATTCGTTTGTTTCCAATTTTACTAGGTACTGGATTTAGAACAAATTACACATAATTTATCCCTTAAATGGCTAATTGCTTACTGCTATTTGAAAAATCATTTATAGAATCAGGTAAATTTTTGCCCCGTTGCTTTAAATTATTCTTCAAAAAAGCAGAACCAATCCAAACTGGAAAAAAAATTTTTTTTTTATCAATTACAAAAAAAAAATTAAAATTTTTTTTCATAACAAATACTTCATTGTACGAGCTATGCTGTCATTATGTTTAATACAGTAGGATAAAATTATGAAATAACTGTAGAAATTTTATATCAATATGCTATTTGAATTTATCCAATAGTATTTTCTCATAAAAGGTTAAACACTTCACTTAGCTCATTCATCAAAACTTACAGTTTATTCAGTACATAAAAAAATATTATGCTTAATACTTAAACAATTTAATACTTAAACAATTATGAATTAACACTAATTTCAAAATTTCTTTACATTTTTCAAATGAGAGAATAAAAATTTGTTGCTCCTCTTATTCAAAGATTATTTTTAAAAAATTGAAAGAGTTGTTCACTAACAGAGTGTTCTATTCTTCATTTGTAGAACTATATATTTCATGTAGCAAAAAGAAACATGCTAATGAAATTTTGTTATATGATTGTTCAAAATTTATCCTTTTAAACAGCAAAATATGTATGCATATTATTTTAATGTTACATAGAGATGAAATGTGATAAAAATAAACAAATTTAGAATGGCACATTTAAGCATTAAAATTTAAAAATAAATAAATAATGATGAATCTCTTTACTTTTAATACTAGTTTGCTGATAATGAGGAAAAAACTTTAAAATTAACATCAGTTATATAAGACAGAGGCAGGAAGAAATAAAGAAACAAAGATTTTTTTTAAAAATTCATTGCCGTAATTATCATCAAAAAATTGTTAAATTTCCCTTCCTTTTTAGATAAGAAAATATAATTCTTTGTGTACGCCACTTTATAGACATACCTGTTAACATTTTGCATATCTTTCCTGAAGCAACAGTGATGTACTTTCGAAGTAAATCTGTGACTGTAAAATAAAATTTACAAAGCGAACTATTTCACAACTTCGATGTAAGACAGTTAAGAAGCTAATTAAAAAGAATGATAAAATACAAAGAGATAGAAAAATAAGCAAGAAGAGAAAAAATTTAGAATTTTTAAAGTATAAGTACAGGGTATAGGCATTTGACTTGAATATTAGTAATTTTAAATGTAAAATCTACTTGTTGCAAATAAAGCATGCAGAAATGTCTAAAGAGCTTTATTCCCTTTTGAGAAAGGGCTGCAACACATTTTTTACAGTCAAAAAAATAAAAGTATAATTTTTTTTATCCAGAAAATAGTATTATATTTAAATGAAACTTTTAATTTACACACTTTACATCATTATATTACATCAAAACATATTTATTTCAAAAACTACCATTATCTTGCATTAATTTAAAAAATTTTTTTTTGCTTTTAAACTACACTATATTAATTAATACTGTATTTACACACAAATATATTACATCAAAATATATTTATTTCAAAAACTAGCATCCTCTTGCACTAAATATTTAAAAGTTTTTTTTATTTTTAAACTACATTATATTAATTAATATGTAAGTTCTTAAATATTCCATCATGAAGGAATTATAAAATATTCTAATATGTTCATTTTTAAAAAAAAAACGAAAATTCTTTTAAAAAACGTTTTAAGTGAGAAGTATTATTTTAGGACATTTTTTTTTAAAAAACTGGTTTTTAAAAAAAAATCAAGAAAATCAGAATAGTATAGAACAGTACAAGACAGCAAAAGACTTTTCAAAGCAAAAGATTCAAAAGATTTCAGAAAGCAAAAGATTTCAGCAAAAGACTTTAAAAAAGTGACAGATAGAGAAGATTGTACAAAACAGAAATTTAAATAAAAATTATCAAGATCAATAGATTAAACCGGGTTGCTCATATACTTAGAATGTATATTTTTAAATCTATGAAAAGACTTGTTTTTGAAAAGCGGGGAAAAGGTAGATGATGGCAAAAGCTATGATTGTAATACAATTAAAAGAGATTTTGGAATGCTAAAAGTTGAAAACTGGAAAAATCCACAGAAATTTCTTCAAAGAGAAACTTTGGCTTATCCTGGAGCTGTTGAGCAAATGATAGTATTTTAATCTATAGCAACTGACATACTTTTTGGAATATTATTGCAATAATGCCTTCGTGTAATGTTAAGTACATTACTTTTGCTACTGCTAGAAAAATATATTCTGAAACTACGGAAATTCCGTACTAGTTGCAGTAGCAGGGTATGCGAGGACATATTCACAGGGAGACTATGTCATGAAAGGAGACATATTACTATGTCATGTTAATAACATAAAGTCGACCAGATAATTGTTGAAATCAGAGGTCCCCAACTTATCATAACATATACCCATAACTCATCATCCACTAGCCAATTTCTTAGTTTAAGTTAAAACCTCTGCTTACCTTATACTAAATATTTACAGAACGACCAACTTCAAATATGTTTTTAAAAGACAGTTAATTGCAACTCAAATTATTAATTGTAAGACAAAGATATAAATTGACCGTAGAGCGAATAACAAAAAAGGCATGTTAACTTCGATTAATTTATCAAATAAATTCAAATTAAAACAAACCCAAGCATTTTTCTATAATAAGCTTGAAAATTTCTTGTCGCTGTATTAACCAGTGATGATGCTGGGTAAAATGTTTTTTGATGCCCTATGCCAAAAAATACAACGATAAGCTTGTAACTCATGGGGATTAAGGTGATTATCTTATGAAATAACAGCATAAAATTTAGTAAACCTAGCTTAAATATTCATGAAGATATTTTTGCAGTTAGAGTAAGAAAACATATGTCAAAAAAGTATTTTTTAAGTAATTTTTTTTAGTCATTTATAGCAGGTCCTCTCTAAAAGCTTTAAACTTTATTAATACGTAAGGGAAATTGCAAGACTTTAAACACTGCTAAAGTTTTATAATGATTCACAAAGTATTTCTCGAGAAATATGAGTTAGCATTTTGTTCAACCCCTGTATTTGGCATTTTCGTATAAACTTTTTACATTTCCTAAAAATTTTTTTTTTTACAAAATTAAATTTTGTTTAATCAGTTTTTTGAATTATAACTTTAGCATTCATAACATAAGCAATAGTAGAAAAAAGTTGTCAAGCCACTTTTCTCGAAATATGTCGCAGGGCACTTCAATTGCACGACAGTAATCGTTTCAGTTATAAAGGACAAAAACTGCGTTTTGTCAACAGCAGTCAAGATATGATCTGTAATTGTGTGGCAAAAGTCAGCAAAGAAGGTGAGAAATACTTTTGGTAAGAAAATTTCATCTCATTCTTTTTCAGAAATCTAAAAAACCAACAATTATGTTTCTGAACAGTCTATATAACTAAAAGACTTTGATAAACCAGGCGAAAAAATAAAAGAATGTGCCAAAAATAGACAATTATGCACAATATTATTAATCAAATTCTCAGTAAAATTTTGTTTCATGGGATAAAAAATATCACATATGTGCACAATAATAATTTACAGCACGTTTTTTAAACTAGTAACAAGAGGATTAATATATGTTTCTCAACATGTTCGAACCTCCGTGCTGATGCAAAAAACTTAGGATTCTACAAAAACTTATTCAAGAAGGATTGCGTAAAAAATAACACTAAGAAAAACGAGTTGAGTATAAAGCACTTGATCTTAATCTTTATCAATCGATTTAAAATTGATTACTTTTCATGAATTTTGAATTATTAATAGAAAATTTTTGGCAGTTAGAGTACTTTTCAAGATATTCAAAAATGTAATAAAAAAAATTCAAAAAAATAATAAAAACAATAAGAAATGATAAAAATTCAGAATCACAGACCCACAGAACAATCTTGTGCTTGAAAAACAAGAATTTTTTATGAGTTTATTTTTTTGGAGGGGAGCAACAAATAGTTTAAGTTAGAGGGGACTATATTGTTAAACAAATGCATCAAATTATCTGAACATTATTTCTATTTGAACTATTATTTATGAGGGATAGCAAATATTTCAGAAACTTTTCCATTTTTAATTAATCACTTCATACACAAAAATTAATTATTAAACCAAAAAAATTATCTGATAATAAAATGTTTCTATTTTATAATCCATTTAACAGAAATATACTTTAAAATACAGGTCCTATATTTGATGATACATATACATACAAGTACTTACTAGTTTCACTTTCAGGCACATTGGGACAATTTGAAGGGCAGGAAGAATTCTAGAAAAAAAAAAGATGATATACAGAACTGTAATTATAATCAATTAAATTAAAATAACAATGAACACTAATTAAATGCAGACTATATTTATAAATCTCAATGCATAAGTCTTGCAATTTTTCTGCTGATCTGTATAATATTGCTGAATTTATTAAAAGTAATAAAAAAAATGGTCTTAATTAAATAAAAGAAAATCAAAGAGATAATTTTTTTTTACAAATTTTGGAGCAATTGTTAGTATTTATGATGATACTGACAGAGACATTAGGAGCACAATTAAAAATGCGCTGAGCATTTTCAGAAAGTTTATCAATGTTCAAATAGGAAATTAAGAATACAAATATTCAATGCAACAGTGAGATTTCTGCTACATGGTCATGGTAGCAAAACTTGGAAATTAGAAAAGCAGCAGGAATACAAAATAGATGCCTTTCAAACAAATCGCTTAAGAAAAATATTGAAAATCTATCAACCGAAAAGATAGGAAAGGTGAATCTATCCTGTAAATCCAGTACCAAGCCGGTAACAATAAATATAAAAAGGAAACAATGAAAATCTATTGTCATGGAAAACATACAAAAAAGAATGAAAAAATCACATTGACCTGGTCACCAGAAGGAAAGTGGAGGAGAGGTAGGTTGCAAACAAAATGGCAAAGTATGGTAACTAATGAGAGAAACCAATTAAATTAGCAGAGGTAGAATGTTACCAAAGGAAACAATCTAGACAAGAGAGAATGGAGGACAAGGATTACAAGGATCCAGGTATAAAGAGCTTCGTATAAAAAGCATTTTTGTAAACAAATTGCCCACTGTATTTACAAATAATTTAATTACATTGGGCTTTACTTTTATCCCAGAAAAGTCAGAGGGCATTTTAAGTTCTTTAATGACTGAGGAAACATTTGCATTGCTAAAATTAACCCCTCAAAATAGCTTTATTTTAAAATTGGACCCTTTACAAAATTATTCTTTTGAAAAATAATAAATTATGTCCTAGTTCATAATTTTTAAACTAAAACTCTTTGAAAGATAAGGTTTTTGTATCCCTAAAGGTAGAAAAAAGGAACACTACTATCTAAAAACGAGTAGATTTTACCAAAACAATCTGGAATGCCCACTGCTAGAACACTGACAATCCAATTTTGCAAATAATGTATGATAACAAAAAATATGAGAATAATCATGAATAGACTAAAACTGTAAAAATATGTAAACAATTATAGAGTATACATCAAATGAAATAAAATTTAAATATAGTTATTTAACTTTAAAAGATACTCACAGGAAGCTCTTCCTTTGTACAAGCTACAGCAGATGACCTAGATCAAAGAAATACAGCTTAAATTTCTTGTGGTTACTTTTAATTTTATTTTATATGAGCAGTGTGGGAAATCAAACAAAGCAACATGATAACTTAAAATCTAGAACAAATTTAGAATGCTAAGTAAAGGATACTTTAGTTACAAAAAAAGATACAAGAACATTTTTTTGCAAGATAAAACTTTGTTCTTTCATTTGCGAATTTTTTATCCTGAAACCCAAGATATTTGTTCCAAACTCTTAAAAGAGGTCAGAGATCTGCAAGAGCTGTACTCCCAGAATGATGATGAAATATTTTTGATAGTAGGAATCTAGTAAATATTGTTCTAATACATTATTTTGGAAAGAGAACAAGAGTTTGAGCTCTTTTACTTTAATTTTGACTATATCTTAATCACTAAGGCCCGGATTTTGATGACATTTGCATTTTTTTGCATTTTTGGACATTTTTTGTCTTTTAGAGCATTTTTTTAGATTTATAGGGCATTTTTCTTGAGATTTTGGGGCGTATTTTGCATTTTAATGCATTTTTTAAAGTTTTCTGTTAATTTTTTACAATTTTTATTATTTTTTATCAATTTTCATTATTACACTGGCTTCCAAACGATAAAGAAAATCTCTAGGATATTAACAGGTGAAGCATCTTTTCAAATTGAAGAAGAATTGTCAGTAAGTAAGACCGTCTCTTTCAAGTACGCACCTATAACATCAGTAGACGTTGAAAGAAGCTTCTGCAGGAATGAAAATTTACTTTCAGACAAGAGACGCTCGTTTACATTTCAAATTATCAAAAAACATTTAATAATCCAATGTAATTCTGATATTTAGTAATATTATGAGATGGAAGTTGTTATATCCATTAAAGTTTCTATACAAAATAAAAATATTTTGGTGTCAATATATTTTCCTTTTTTTTTTGTTATTTTAGGATATAAAACATATTTTTCAAACTTTAATGTGCGTAGAACAAGTATTGCATTGCTTTATATCTTTTAAATGACTCATAATAATTTTAAAGAGCAAAACATTTTTTTAATTCAATATTCTTACTTTATTTAGGGCATTTTTTGCGCAATTTTTGCATTTTTAAGGGCATTTTTTGCACTTTTTAAGGGCATTAGTTGAGATTTTTTAGGTCATCAAAATCCGGGCTCTATTAATCACTATTTATGCAAATCAAGAAAACTTTGAAGACAATCATAAAACTTATTCAATTTATCCAAAAATAATATAATATAAAATCTGAAATTTGAATGCAATAGGTTTAATAGTTTTTGAGCAACAGAGCTTCATTAAATTTCAATTTTTTTCATTAATATTTAACCTTGCCTTACCTGATTTAAGATAAAAGTTTTGATATTTTTCTAACTAAACTTTTAATGATCATAAGGCAGCTATCGAGAGGCTTCAAAATTCAAAGTTTTCAACAATGCCTATTTTTGTTCCTCACAATGTGCCCTGCATTACTGCAGCAATGGTACTTACTTAATCAAAAATATCATATCATTCAAAATTTGGAAATTTAACTTTGACACCAACAAATATATAATTAGATTTAAAAATAAGAAACTTAAAATCCATGCAAGATTTCTATCATAATCCATACTTTTACAAAATAAATAAAAGTGAATAAGTTGATATACTTTTAATACAAAATATTCAACATAAAAATTTATTTAGTTTTTGCATAACTGCTGTGATTTTGACACTAGGCAACAATAGTTGCTGTTTCACTGTGTCCGCACTAAGGCAACTTCTTAACTAACAAGCTAATTCAATCATGGGACTAATCATCACTAATGGAATGATCTTTGTATCACAATAAAATAAAAATAAAACAATGCAAATCATACTTTTGAGGAGCAGCCATTTTTTCAAATTCCATTTCACTTTTATCTGGTGATTCTAGTTCTACCTTCATTTCAGCAGTTGTATCTGAAAATAATAAAGAAAGAATATCACTAAAACACAACCATATCTTAAAAATGTCACTTTCCCACTGTAAATAGTTATGTCTAACAAGAATTTTCATTCTACTTAATAAGTATGAATCCCTAAGTGCATAATTTTTTAAACATGAAAAATGATTATAATCAAAAAATTCTTCGATCCAATTCCAACAGTATAAAAAAAATTTAAAAATTAGTCTTATGGTATTTTGAAAACTTTTAACTAGTTCCGTGACAAAACATTTTTTGCACCGATTTAAAAATAAGAGAATTGCTAGCATTATAAAAAGAAAAGTGGTGCGAGACTTATACTTAGTTGTAAGTTTTTAGTGTTAATCACCTCAATACCAGATACCCTCCAGCACGGCAGCAGGTGCAGTAGATTATAACAGCATTTCTAGATTGTTTTAAATTTAGTTTTTATTTTTAATAACAAACAAATGGGGAGGAAATTACTCAAACACTTTTTTAAAACTTACTTCCATTAAACATTATAAAGCTTAAATGAGGAAAAAAAATAAAGAATTTTTTTCTGATTACTTGATTAAAGGTCTAACTGTATTACATATTTTTAGTATCGTATGAAATTCAATTTAAATTTAAACCACATAAAGACTTGATGCACAATTTTTTAAAAGCCTTATACTTGCTAATTTTGCTACATGTGTTAGATTAAGCTGAATTTCTACTAAAATAATCTTAATCTGACTATGTAGAAGGTCACAGTCAAATTATGAAGATATCACTGCAGATTCATCATAAAAATTTCACTGAAAGAGATGCTCCTTTTTTTTTTCTTATAAAAAAAATGCATTGATAAAATTTTAAGCAGAAACAAAAATATTCATATTATTATTACATAGTAATAGACACACAAATTTTTCCAAAATTACATAAATTTCATAATTTTGTTACCAGCCTTTATCTTCATTTTGAAAAAGAGTACGCAAGAAGCCTAAGCTCCGAAATGAGTTGAAAGATATTGAAATACATTATCATCATTATGTATATATATATTTCTAAATCTTAATCTACAGTTGGCATTTCTCTTTTATTTAAAGTACAATCTAAAATATTATCTGCAAATGGATTTTGGTAACTGTAACTATTTGCTTTGTCTGAATGTAACATTGGTACAATACCTGCTTTATATTATAATTACACTTACGATTTTATAAAACGTTTATTTTGATAAAAAAAGAAAAGAAAAAAAAGTTTATCTGAACAAGGGGCAAATTTTTTTTTTAAGTACACTAAAAGCTAAATTTATTTTCTATTCCACTTGTACTGAATCTACATTTGACATTTCAATTAAAAATGAGAAAGGTTTTGAAATATTAGCATATTTGTTTAGCAAGATTTAAAATTAAGATTAAAGGTTGAAAGTTTATTAAAAGTTTTCGTAACATCAACATTTCTTTCCATTTACTGTAAAGTTCACTTTAAAATAGGAAGTGTTTTTTTAAGATCTGTAAGTTGGATTTACTGAATGAGGGATGATCATTGACATGGATCCCGTAACTTACTTGATTTCATTCATAAAGTTTACATTTGGATTTCTGTACTCTTAATGTTTCATTTTTTAACATTCACCATTTAATTTCTTTAAAAAGTGTAATCCTCATCCTTGCTCATAGGAAGTACAGTGAAATTTGTTATTTATATGGTTTCAAAATTTGAGAAAATTGAAAGAAGAGGCAGAGTTTGTAATTGTTTTAAACAAATCTCAAACAAAAATTTGATTTTGAAAAACTGTGGTTATGATTTTATGAAAGGGTAGTTTCATCATATTTTGATATTATAATAATTTTGTTCCTGTGGATTTAAAATATAGCTAATTTCATAAGTGATTTTATCAGTGGTGATCACAGTATTTATTTTTAGGAGAAGAGATTGAACAATAAGAAAGTCAAAAATAAAGATATAACTTTAAATCTGATCAATTACAAACTATATCTATAAGAAAAAGCATGCATGCATGCATATATATATACAGTGATGGCTAAAAGTGTGGACACTTTTTGAAAGTTTCATGTTCTTCAACTTTGTGTGCTTGTAGAATATATTAATTTTTACTTAAATACAAAAGTTTACATATCAAATTGCAGGTAATTTAATGTAGAATTTAATAATGAATACAGTATTACAATATCTGTATTACAAAAAAAAGTTATGCAATAATAGTAAGATCTATCTTAAATTTGCATTTTTTTAAAGTGATACTTAGTAGAATAACCCTTATTTTTTAAGACAGCTTCCCAGTTTCTTTTCATTGAGTGAACGACTGTTTGAAGTTCATCTTTCGTAATCACATGGTGCCAAGAATCAATTATAGCTTCAATAAGTTGTCTTTTATTGGATGGACGGTTTTTCCGTGCAAAAATTTTCAAACATCGCCACAAATTTTCAATTGGATTGAGATGCATTCATTTCACATCTAATGGCATCTGATGAAGTTTTTCTATCTTGAAGACATAGCCGTTTAATTTTTCTATCGGCGGTAGCACTTGTGCATTTTCATCGGATTCTTCATTTTCTACTGATTTCGTTTTTTTCATAACGTAAACAGAACTTTCCTACAGAAGAACAAGTCACTGAACTACTAACTTTTCTTTCAATTTCAATCATTAGCCATTTTCTCTCAATATGACAATTCGGCTTCTTTTTGTAGATGTCCAATTAGTTCCTTCTTGTTGATGACATTGTTTAAAATTAGTTTAATTAAAAGAAAGGACTTTAAAATTAAAAAACAGCAATACTCTATTTAATTGTACTAGTATGCATCATTCCGCAAAATATTTCCACAACAATAACTCTTTTGCCATCCAAATAACCTAAACTATAGTTACAGACATTTGATTGGTCCTAAGAACAGTGTTTGTGATTGGCTAGTACGCTTTTATTACAAAACAAGTCTTTATTCAAAACAATTTATGTTTGTTTGTTCAACTAAAATAGGCATAACTTTTTTTGTAATACAGATATTTTAATTCTGTTTTTGTTATTAAATTTCACATTAAATTACCTTCAATTTGCTATATAAACGTTTGTATTTAAGTGAAAATTCATATACTCTACAAGCACACAAAGTTGAAAAACTCGAAACTTTCAAAAAGTGTCCACACTTTTGGCCACCACTGTTTTTTATACACAGTACAGAACCCGTTATCCGGAAATCAGAAAACCAAAAAAACGGAATGAAATTCGATAAATTTTCCCGCTATTTTAAAAAAAAAACAATTTTTTTTTTCCTCATAAGATTTTAGGATTTTTCTTTCTTTTTTGAAAGATGTTTACCTTACCATCATTTTAGAAATAATCATTAGTGTATTACTTCATCGTTTTTTTCTTCTTTTTAAGATTATTTCTAAATATTTTTCTATTTTTAGTTGGGTTTAACAATAAAAAAACGGCTTTTTGTAGCGATTGAGAAATTGGAAAAATCAGTTATCCGGAATAGCAATGGTCCCGATCGTTCCGGACAATCGGTTCCCTACTGTATATATATATATATTGCTAAAGTAATAATCTCACTTGTAATAGTCTTTACAGAAACTTTAGTAATAATAGCACCATCAGTTAAATCAGAATTAGCAACAGTTGATGATGCCTGCTCCATTGAATAAATGTCTGTTGTAATACCTAAACACAAAGTTAAATAAATAAGGTAAGTTTTTTTAAATTTATTTATCACGTAGTGGGACACTATTACCAATTCAAACATTGAAATTCCAAAATGAATAAATTATAGTCGTGAAAAAAATAATAAAGTGTAAAAATTAAAAAACTGATATCTTTTTCTTAACATGAAAAAATAAATAGCATAAGGCACATAGTATTTATTGCACAGACAGCCTTAAGACTATAATATTTCTCTTGCATTGTCATAAAAAAAATGTCTGTACATGGAAAGAAGAATAGCTATAAATAATCGACCTCATAAAAGAGAAGAAAAGATCAAACAACTGCAAACAACTGTCAAACAACTGCAAGATCAAACAACTCAAATTTAAAGGAAATATAAATGTTATCATCAATTCACTAACACATTCTATGCGATTTTAATTAAAGCTTAAGATGTCCTAAAATTACTGAATGGCAAGGCTCAAAATTAATGGTGGTTTTTGTTTAGATCTCTAAAATTTGACTCAGAAGGATATCGTTAAATAAATTATTAGTGGTCTACTGACCAAAATTCTATGTGTAAATGGTTGTATGTTGTTTTGGTTATTTTAATTTTTGGCTTTGTGTATCGGTCAGCTTTATTGGTTCAAAATACAATTCAACCCCACACATTCTCTGTATTAAATTTTTTTTAACTAAATTCACTTTATCCATTGTATTATTATTATTTTTTTAATTAATAGAGACATGTGAATGTACCAGTTAAATAAGCATGAACTAGCACTAGCTTTTAGATACTTATCCAATGGACCATAGACAAAGTTATATTAATTTTTATCCCTAGTACAATAACAACCATGCTTACACAAAATAAAATAGCAGGAGGCCTCAATTATTATGATTCAACCCTTTGCAGCTTTAAGTGATATGGAAAACCACTCCATCACATTGGAAGGGAAAAAAAATTAAAAGTATTTTAGTGAAACACTTTTCTTTCAACTTTTATTAATAAAAAAAGGTACGTTTAACATTAATTCAAAACTTATTTGTTAAAATATGCGAAATTGATTTGAAATCATTGTTAGTACCAAAAAATTATATTCTAGGAAAAAAACAGGATAAAATAAAATTTAAAAAAGCATCTTTTACTTGTTTCTGAATGCAGGAGTCTAAATGCTGAAGAGTGCAGCATCTAAATAAATAATAAAATTAAAAAAAATTATTAATGAAAATTTAAATCTAAGCAATTTTTAAATGAATATTCAGATTACAAAATTACAAAGTTAAGTTAAGAATAACTTTGTGGTCATATGACAGGCTCTCAGTCAATGTTTGGAAAAAGTAGTGGGTTCATAAGGCAATTTTAATTTAACCCATCTATTGACTGGTTTTGTGTCATAGCTAAGCAAAGCTCTAGTATAAAATTGCAGACAGGTGTGCCAACTTTTCAAACTGGCTATCAGTAATCAGAAGTACAATAACACAGAAATATGTATAGTCAACATTTACAAAATTCAAATTAGCACAATTTAAAAATGTATAAACAAATTGTTTCAATATATTAATATTATGCATCATAATATTAATATTATGCATGAAGTTACTATTAAAAAAAAGTAACAATTAGCTAAAGGCACTAACTTAAAAATTATATAACACTGAAATTTTATACTTCATTATAAAATGATAAAATTAAATTGTTAAATCATTAAATATTTTTGGCTTGCAGTGTTTCCAATTTGAGTAATTCCCCCCCCCCTTTTTCTATAGAGAAAGAAAATTGCTTTAAAATAACTTATTGAAAGGGGAAAGATGAAATTATTTTGCTTCATTTTTTATTTCTCACTTCAATCAAATTGTTTTTTTTTAATTTATCGTTTTTAGAACAGTTTAAGGAGTACAAAAATTACTGTACATGAGTACTACAATTTGTTAGATCATTTAAGGTTAGGCCCATTTACTATTAAGATTGAGACTTTCTGATTTTTAGAAACTAAATAGATTGTTGCTTAACCTGTACTCTTCTAAACTCTTCTGTCATGATTTTCCAGATTACTGATAGTTATCTTCCAAAATCATTATTAAAACCTTCACTAAAATTTTTTTCTATCATTTGCCTTATTAAAATAGCATTTCAAATTCTTGTTTTAAATCATTATATACTTACACTATAAATAAGATAATTCCAGTAATGAACTAAAAAATACCTACGTTTTGATAAAACTTAATTTTTCAAGAAGAAAATGTAGGATTTATTAAATGAAAAAGAAGTATTACTCAAATTAAAGTTCTGGAATTTCATACTGGCTCATTCAGACATGGCTAAATTTCTGTCAAACATAACACCTGAGAAATAGAGGCATAGCTAGAACTTACAGCACCAGGGCACAAACTCAGCTTTTGTGTCCCCTAACAGAATGATATCAAACCTTTTGAGAGTTCAAGGGACCAGTGAAAAGATTGGGCTCCTTTGCTAAACAGAATTGCAATAATATCCGGAGTTTGTTCAACACTTCCTTAAAAAATCTCAACGATAACAGTTGCAGTGTTGCTGTTTTTCTTTTCTTGTAGAAATTGACATTTCTTAGAGCATTATTGTTAAAGCTACAATTTTATTCACCACCTGGTCACAGGATCATTCTTTGAGAAACAAAGAGTTTTGTGCAGTAGTTAAACATTTTTATTTTATAAGTTAAACAGTGAAAGAAATTAAAGCTGAGTAAAATTACACATTAGAAGGATTTTTTCCGATTAGAAGGATTGTGTTGGTGACTGTTAACATTGAAGAAAATTAATTTAAATGTGGTCATATGTGATAAACATAAATTTGCAAGTGATCTCTGGCTCCAAAATTACAGGCAAAATTGAAGAAAGGATTTTGAGTAACCTATCAATTCAAGTGCATGAAATATTTGACGCCACAATCTCTTCAGTGTTTTTTAATTTCGCACAAAATTTTCGGGCGAAAAAATCTCAGCACGAAGGATGTTGAATTAGTTGCATAGGAAAATTCATATATTAATTGTATAATGGCAAAATATATATAACTAACAGTCAGATTCTTACATCTTATTCACCAGTTAACGGTCGACTTCAGAAATTTTTCCTAGGGGGGAGGAGAGTCATAGACTCAGATCCCCTCCCTCCAATTAATTTTTCTTATAAAAAAATTTTTTTTTAATATTTTTTTTTTGAAAAAAGAAAACAAAAACTGGGGTTTTTAATGCTAGTCTTCTCATTTATTTTTCTCATAATGAACAATACATAAATAATTCAAGTATTCAAAATCTTTAAATAATAAATGTAATGCGTTTTTTAGAAACTTTGGCAAATCTGTCAAAGATTTTTTCAACATCAAACTAATTTCACCATCTAAATCAATCAGTGAAGAACATAATTAGATGGGGGAAATCGATTTTTGCGGTGTATATGCCCCCTTTAATAATTTTTAAAATATTTTATTTCTGTTGTAAACTATTAAAAAAATAATTTTCATTTTTTTATTCAATTTTGGGGGAAGTCACAACCCTTCCCCCCCGGATCTGCCACTGACCAGATTTTGCTCCTGATGTTTTATTTTTAATTTCCAAATTTGATAAAAATGACTCAAAGGATAAGAATTCAGAGTCAATTGAAAAGGTCATCACTCAAACCGATGTTGATTTCGAAAACCTTAAAAAAGTCTAACTTTTTATAACATTCAGGGGTGATTGTGAGCCCAAGTCAAAATTCCGGAAAATTTCTTGAGTTAAAAAAAAAAAAAAAACAGTTTAAATTGAAAAATTAGAAAAAAATTTAAGCAAGTTTTTTTTTCTCCCTTTTTCTCAATATTTCTGGGTTTACTTAAAATATATTTAAAATTTTACACATACCTATACCATTTACATATACCTATGATGACCAGGAGAAGTAATTAAAATTTACAAATATGTCTTTCTTTCTTGAGTTAATGATTATAACAACTATTTACTGATAAAAAATTAATATTAATCATGAATATAAGCTTATAAAGTATCTGGCTCTCCCTTACAAACAAATAACTTGTGTTTTTAAGTTCCACCTTTGAAAATTTGATTTTCGGAAACTTTTGCGATCAATGATTTTTTGAAACGTCTGGACCTTCGATCTCCGGAAACTTCCGGATCACTGCTAGCGAAAAATCCGGAAATCAGGATTTTTTCCGGAGCACAATCAGCCCTGAACATTGAAAAATAAAGTTTGAAAAACATGTTGCTATAAAAAACAAATTACAATGAAAAATCGAAGAAAATCTACCCAAAATCATTTTTAAGCACTTAATGAATGACTCTGGTATATGAGATACTTTCAAGCATGCAATTCTAGTAACAATAGGCACTGATAAATTTATCTAACCTTTTCGTTCAAAGGAGTCCTTTGTGAAACATCTGAGGAAAATCTAAAATCAAAATATTTATTCGTTAAAAATATGTTCTGAAAATTCTTTTACATTTTCATTAACTAAAAATATTAAAAGAAAAAAGATATACAATAGCTTTTAAGCTGAATGAAAAAATTTAAAGGAAAGAGAAAACACATAATATAGTTAACAAGTTGAATAAAAAAAAAGAAAGAACAACTAATATCTAAGAAATTAAATAATACATACACAACTTCTGCTTGAAAATTTTGCTCTATATTTTGCGCTTCAGAAGTTGCACCTATTAAAAAGTGATATAAAAAAATTTAAAATTGGAATACAGTATTTCAACATAAGTATGACACAAAATTTATTTACTGTGAAACCAATTAAGAAAAAATATTCCACCTTTTAAACCAGTCATAGATGATTCAAAGGAAAGTGTAATTTCTGGTAATTCACTAGTAACTGCTTCACAAAAAGTATGTTTTAATTTTACGTCAGATACAGTAACTGCTAATGGAAAATTAAATATTAGAAGAAAAAAAAGACAAAATCTTTAAAAATTTTCTATAGAAAAAATAAGATACTGCTTATGAAAATAATAATGAAGCTCCTTTTTTTAAATGATCTTCTATAATATAAATGACATAGACTAATTGGAAAATTCAGATCCCTGCCAAGTGATGTTGAAAGTTAGCAAAGAGATGAATTGTTCAATTATCCTATAACGTATGCACCAGTTTTAAAGAAACAAATAAGTAAAATTACAAAACAATGAAATAAATTTATAAAAAAAATTGTTAACAGAATTTTCAGATCATTTTTATCTTTTTTATAATTTCCTCCTTGCAAAGCGATATTGACAGTTTACAAAGAGGCAAATTGTCTAATTAGTCTACAAGATATACGTCAGTTTTAAAAAAATTAAAAAATAAATAAAATTACAAAACAATGAAAAAAATTTATAAAACTTTTTTTAAACAAGAATTACAAACGTGTTTTTGTCTTTTTTATAATCTCTTTTACATTTAAAATTTTTTACTAACCACAAGGCAAAACTGCATATTAAGATTTAGGATTTAAGTCTTTGATAAAAATAAATATATCGATCAATGGTAATATTAATAACAGAACTGTCATAAACGGCTTTTGATCTTTTTTTTAATACATATTCACGAAATAAACATAATTCAAACAAAACAAAAGTTAGTTTTAAAATTATCGGTTCCGTAATGTCCCCAACCTATTCACTGCAAATTGATTTTATTTGAGCATACCTCACATAATGGATCAAAAATAAATAATTTTTAAAAAACATGCAATAAACTCTAATGAAATTTTTTTATGATTAAATAGAGCTGCAATCTAGCAAAGTTATCTAATGTTATCTTTTAAATAATTCAAAGAAACAGAATAAGCATACCTTTTTTTAAAATTATTATTGCTATAGATTAGGAAAATGAATTGGCTTACTTTTCGCATTTTCAGTTGATGATTCAAGCAAAACAGAAGATTTTGGAACATCAAGATCCATTTCTTCCTCTTGTAAACTTGGTTCAGGATGAGAACTTACAGCTATTTTTTTTTCATTTAAAGGAGAGAAAAAACAGTATGTTTTACACATAAAAAAATGTTTAGAAATAAACTAAAGTAATAAAAAAAAAAGTCAGTCTATTTCATAGCTACTAACTCTACCAGAATTTTCGGAAGATTTTACTTTTTTATTTAAAGTGTGAGATATGAAACCACTCTTTTAGTTTTAAGAAATCTGATTTAAAATAGATATTGGCTACTATTACAATCAAATAATTTAAAAAATATATAGAAAAAAAATCCTAAAAGATCAAAAGGAAAAATAAAAAGTCACATATTATTGATAAAACTCTAATCAGAAACACAAACAAAAGAATTCAATCAAGGCTTCAAAATAAAACTATATTTGTTCATCAATTGAGCATTTAGATTTATCTTTAGTTCAGTATGTATACATAAAAACCTTTTTTATTTTTCTGTAGAATAGTGTACTTTTGGTAAAAATTTAGGTAAAAAAAAATTTAGCAAAAAAAGGCCCTAACAAAACATTAACAAATTTCAGGTCTTTTGGATGGCAGTAAGCCAGGTTCACATCTACAACTTTCATGCTAAAATAACTATTTCCAAAAACAATTTCTACGTGATACATCAGAGCATCGGTGCTCAAAAGTGGTAGTGTTCCGCTTATGGATTATATGGGTTTTGTAAGATAGGACTTTTTTTAAAACTTGTAATAAATGCAAGGTTCATAGTAAAGTTTAAACGAAAAAAAAAATTGATTTTCCCAGGTCAATTTATATAAAAATGTAAATTATATTTAATACACAAGAAAATTTTTTTTACATAATTATAACATTAATAAAATTAGATTACTTTTAAAAACTACAGATAATTTGTTTAAAACAATAAAATGAGTAGTAAGTTCAATATTTACCACAATATTAAGGATTTAGGTTAAATTATTAATATCAGTAATAAAAATAATCTGATTTTTTTAAAATTAAATAATAATCAATTTAAACATCAATGAAAAAATAAAAATCAATGAAAAAGATAATTTGTTAAGACAAAGATTTTAAGATTATTAATAATTAGTGAGAACTAAAAATACAATCTTCAAAAAGTAATAAAAATATTTTAAGGTTTTAAACAAACTTATACAACACATTCAAATATATGGCAATTACTGTAAAAGGGGACTATTTCAAATGATCGAGAAATCGATCTGCAAAAAACTTTGGGTGCTTAAGCTCAGAAATTCAGGTTTTTATTTTGCACTATTTTCTGTTAAAATACTGTATACAGGAGAAAAAAGTAATAATAAATACTAAATTTTATAACTGAATACCATGCACAAACCCAAATTTTTTATTCATTTCAATTACTTTTAATGTGCCAACTTTAAAATAATTTGTTTTAAAGAAACGTGATTCAAAAGCAAAGCTATAAATAAAGTTAACAACCAGCTAGCTTTAAAAAAATCATTTCAGTGATGTTTCCAACCTATTCACCTATTCCAACTTTAAACGAGCATATGTTACATAATAGATAAAAAAAAGTCTTTTTCAAGAAATGAATGAATTTTGAAAACGCAATGAATTCCAATGAAATTTGTACATGATTAAATAAAACTGTAATCTAGCAAACTTTTCTGAGGTTATGTTTTAAAAAATTGAAAGAAATAGAATAAACTAGTTAAAATTGCCACAATACATAATAGAAATCCTACAGAAATTGTTTTTTAAAATATCCTCCCTGAACAGACTAATTAAAATTATTAAATAATTTTTAGGATTTGGGGTTAAAAATGTTCTTTGTACCCACTATCTAAATTTCAGGACCATAGCACAAATGGAAAATATAAGAGAAAGATATAAATACAGGTACACTTACAAACCTTTTCTTTTATTATTATAGATTTAAAAAAAATAGATTGGCTTACTTTTCAGATTTACTAAAGATGATTCAAGCAATACAGAAGATTTTGGAACATTAAGATCCATTTCTTCCTCTAGCAAACTTGGTTGAGGTGGAACAGTTGCACCTATTATTTTATTAAAAAAAAGCAGTATATTTTAAACCAAAAATAATATTTACAAATAAACTTATAATAATAAAAAAAGTCAGTCTGCATTTCATAGCTACTAACTCTTTTAGAATTTTTTAGCTCTTACTTTTATATTTAAAAATAAGTTTTGTGCATATTTAAAGTATAGGTTTTGAAACGATTCTTTCTCTTAAATAATTTGAAAATAGGTGTCTGCAGCTATTACATTAAAATGGTTAATAATTTTTTTTTTTAAAATTGCTTCAAGATCAAAAGGGGAAAAAAAAGATCACTCTTTGACTTTAACTTTGGTTTCCCCATTTTACTAACACATTTATTGAAATCAGATGGAAAAACAATTGTATCACAATCTTATTCCTCTTTATGCTGTGCGATTTTATTTCTCCTCCACTGCAGTTAAACATGAATTGTCAAACACACACAGAAGCTGACATACTAAAAAGAATTCATGTTCTATCACAATCTGCCTTCTCCTCACACCTCATTCAAAACAAATGAATTGAAAAACAGGTGCAGTTACAGTACTTGATTATTCCCTTTCCTTGACTGTCATTATGTTCAAAGGGAAAATAACAGAAATGACAAATGATTTAAAAAAAAAAAAAAGTAGGAAATAATAAGCAGGGGTCTGTCTAGGTTTTTCTGAGAGGTACCTATTTTGAGAAAATTTAGAAATAAATTGTGAAAATTAAAAATTATATTAAAAAATCAACACAAAAATATGTTAAAAATATGGATATATCGTTTCTTAAGGGATACAAAAATAAAATTTTAAGAAAAAGTATTTTGTGAAACTACCGTTTTTCCTAAANGTACATGATTAAATAAAACTGTAATCTAGCAAACTTTTCTGAGGTTATGTTTTAAAAAATTGAAAGAAATAGAATAAACTAGTTAAAATTGCCACAATACATAATAGAAATCCTACAGAAATTGTTTTTTAAAATATCCTCCCTGAACAGACTAATTAAAATTATTAAATAATTTTTAGGATTTGGGGTTAAAAATGTTCTTTGTACCCACTATCTAAATTTCAGGACCATAGCACAAATGGAAAATATAAGAGAAAGATATAAATACAGGTACACTTACAAACCTTTTCTTTTATTATTATAGATTTAAAAAAAATAGATTGGCTTACTTTTCAGATTTACTAAAGATGATTCAAGCAATACAGAAGATTTTGGAACATTAAGATCCATTTCTTCCTCTAGCAAACTTGGTTGAGGTGGAACAGTTGCACCTATTATTTTATTAAAAAAAAGCAGTATATTTTAAACCAAAAATAGTATTTACAAATAAACTTATAATAATAAAAAAAGTCAGTCTACATTTCATAGCCACTAACTCTTTCAGAATTTTTAAAAGCTTTTACTTTTTTATTTAAAAATAAGTTATGAATATATTTAAATTATAGGCTTTAAAAACATTCTATTTTGCCTTTAAATAATTTGGAAATAGGTGTCAGCAGCGATTACATTCAAATAGTAAATAAAAAATGTTTTAAAAAAATTCAGAGAAATCAAAAGTAAAGTAAAAAAGTCACATAACATCTATAAAACAACTCTACGCAGGAAAAAAAAGAAAGATAATTATTTTTAGTCATGTGTCCTCCTCTGAGCATTTAAAATAATCTTTAATTCATGGATCAAGAACACAAAAATGCATTTCCTTTCTTTTTATAACAGTGAAAACGATTTGGAAAAAAGGTAACAAAATGCGGATAAGGGCAGTAAGCCAGGATGAAACTTTTGATTTTCATGCTAAAAACAGAATATCTTGAAACCATGCAACAACCTTTTATTTTATTATTATATATAAGAAAAATAGATTGACTTACTTTTCATATTTATAGTAGAAGATTCATGGAAAACAGAAGATTTTGGAACATCAACATCCATTTCTTTCTCTAGTAAACTAGGTCGAAGTGGAACAGTTACATCTATTTTTTTAATAAATAAAAGAAAAGCAGTATATTTTAAACTTAAAGTAATATTTACAAATAAACTTAAAATAATAATAAAAAAGTCAGTCTTCATTTCATAGCGACTAACTCTCTTAGAATTTTTAAAAGCTTTTACTTTCATATTTAAGAATAAGTTATGCATGCATTTAAAGTATAGGTTTTGAAATCATTTGATCTTTTTTTTAAATAATTTGAGAATAGGTGTTTGCAGATATTACATTCAAATAGTCAAGAGAGAAATGTAAAAAAAAAAACCCTGAATGATCAAAAGGGTAAAAANAAAAAAAAACCCTGAAAGATCAAAAGGGTAAAAAAAGTACATAATCAATTAAATAAAAACTCTGTACAGAAATGTAAAAACAAAAATTCAATGAATAATAAATAAAAAAAATTCAACGTCCTACAACGTATGAACCAGTTTTTAAATCTTTTAATAAAAAATCAATAAAATTACAAAACAATGAAATAAATTTATAAAAAAAATTAACAGAATTTGCAAGAGTATTTTTATCTTTTTCATAATTTCCTAATAGCTAAGTGATGTCGACAGTTTGCAAAGAGACAAATTGTCCAATTAGCCTACAAGATATATGCCAGTTTTAAAACTTTTAAAAAAATGAATAAATAAATGAAAGTACAAAACAATGAAACAAATTTAAATATTTTTTTTTTTACAGAAATTACAAAAATATTATTATTATTATTTTATAATTTCCTTTACATTTTAAAAATTTTTACTAAACACTAACATATAACTGCATCGCAAACTTTTCTAAATTAGCACAATGCATAATATAAATCCTATAGAAAAATTTGTTTTAAAATATATAGACAAGTTTAAATTATTGAACAATTTTTGGCATTGGGGGTTAAAATTGTTCAAAGGCCATCCATAGTACAAAGAGTTCAGGAAATATAAGAGAAAGACATGCATAAACATACAAATCTTTTTTTTTTTTTCCATTGCTATAGATTAATTTGCTTACTTTTCACATTTTCAGTGGATGGTTCAAGCAAAACAGAAGATTTTGGAACATCAAGATCCATTTCTTTCTCTTGTAAACTTGGTTCAGGTTGAGAAGTTATACCTAATTTTTTTTTATTTAAAGAAAAAAAAACAGTATACTTTACACATAAAAATGTTTACAAATAAACTACAATAATAAAAAAGTCAGTTTATTTCATAGCTACTAACTCTTCCAGAATTCTAAGGAGATTTTACTTTTATATTTAAAGTGTGAGTTACGAAACCACTCCAAACAAAACCATTCAGTTTTAAGAAATTTGATTTAAGATAGATTTTGGAAACAATTACATTCAAATAGTTTAAAAATATATAGAAAAAAGTCGTGAAAGATCAAAAGGAAAAAAAAGTCACATATTATCGATAAAATATAAAACTCAAAGCAGAAACATAAAAACTAAAATGAAGGCTTTAAAACAAAACATTATTTGTTCATCAACTGATTATTTAGATTTATCGTTAGTTCAGGATCAATACAAAAATAACTTTATTTTTTTTGTAGAACAGTGAATGCAATTTGGAAAAAAACAAACAAACCAAACACTAACTAAATTCTGTTTTTTTTTTTTTTTTTTTTTTTTTTTTTTTTTTTTTTTTTTTTTTTTTTTTTTT